AATTAATAATAAATAATAAAAGATTTAAGTTAAAATTAATAAATATTAAATAATAATATATTCTTTAATAAAGATAATAAATAAAAATTTATAATTATATATTATAAAGTAATTTAGTCATTTAGTTATTTACTAAAAGTTTAATTAAAAAGTTTAGATTTTAGTCAAAGGTTTAATCAAATACAAAATTTGATGAAAATTTAGTTATCATAAAAATAATTTAAGCAAGCATCATAATTTTTATACATTCTTTTATTAGCCAACTATTTTTTTCAACTTTTATGTTTTTAATTTTTTTTTGAATTATTAGAAAAATCAAAATAATAATTAATATTTTTTAATTATTATAATAATTATATATGATATATCTTTTTAATAATATTATAATTTGGCTTATATCTTAATCTTTATATTTAATAGTAAAATTAATTTTTAAGTTCACTTTAATAAAAAAAATAAAATTAATAAATTAGTAATATATTATTTAATATTTATTGTTAAATTCATTTTATTGTAAATATTTACAAATTTTAATATTACTATATTGTTAGATAGATTTTTAGATATAAGTCTTATTATTTAGAATAATAATATTATTATTTTGAATAATTTTTTCAAGCAAAAATTGTATTTAATTAAATTTTTCTTGTATTCTATTATAAGTTTATATAAAATAATAATATAAAAAATAATATAATTATAATATAAAAATTTATTATATATATAAATCTAATATTATTTTATTTATATTTTTTGAAAATAATCATGCATTTTGAAAATTTATTTACATAATAACCTATGTAATAATTTACATAAAAATTCATGCAATCAAAAATTTATTCTTATATTACAATTATTTATAAAGTCATATTACTTTATTACTTACTTGAACTTATCAAATTTTATTATATAATTTTATTTGCAATCTAGCTTTATTGACTTTATCACTTAGCTTTTGCTACTTGATTTTATCAAATTTTATCATATAGATTTACTACTTGGTTTTGATATCTTGCATTCCATTCATGATTTTTGGCACATTTTCATAGCAAATAGGATTTACTGTTAATATATTTATTTGAAATACAATCACATCTTTATTATGCTAGATATTATCAGCACAATATGAACATTATAATCTTTGGTATTTTATATTACTAAATAAAATTTATAAATACATGAATCCTAAAAAAATATCAAAAAAAAAAAAACATTTGAAAATAAAAAAAAAACTATTGGATTTTGTTATCTTCTTGTTAGGTTGGATAATAAATTTGTAATAATTTAAAACTTGAAATTAGACTTTTTTTAGATGTGAAACTTCAAAAGATATTGCTTATTATCAATAGGTTTAAGTATATAAGTTAAAACAATTAATAATTTCAGGTAATATAATCCTATAATAATTTATATAAAAAAATCAAATATGTAAGACATATTTTAATTTTAATTAAAAATTTAAAAAAAAAGGAGTTTTGGTGAATTCCAACTAATCCACATCACGTGTATCTAAAATCACGTGCCCGAGGATTTTTGATGTCAACTAATAATTAATATACAGTACCTCTCGTTCCAAAATGTCACAAATGTCAGAATATTATCACGGCTATACGTGTAAGTTCTAATTACACGGTAACTCAACTTACCTTCTTAATATTCTCTTTTTGATCTTTACTAACAAACCATCTCTTTAGCCATTTGTTGTTACATAAGAAATCGTAACAAGAATTGTTCATTTCACGAGTTTGTAGACCTTTACCGGGAAATGATTATAGACTCTCCACCGAATACTGATAACTGGAATGGTTTGGAAACAGCATGGGAAATAAGATTTTTAGGATATTATTCCTGAAAAGTACGATGATATATATGCAAAGGTTCTGTATTCTTTTTTTCTAAGAAAATAAATAAAAGGGAAGTGATCGGTTGATTAAGGATATTCAGTGATCGGCTGGCTCAAGTAGTGGTGGTTGCGCTCCTGGTCAGTGATCGGTTGACTTTGGAGTATCTAGTGATCGGCTAGGCACCATCATTGCGTTTTCATGGGCTTCGCTATGATTGATATGTACAAAAATATTTTTATTAATTAATTATTTTCCATAACAGGTTAAATCAGAAACATCGAATAAGTCTTTAATGTATTATTGGCAAAATATTGTCAATGAAAAAGGACAAGTCAGTCAAGATTATTACAATTTTGCTTGCTCTATAACTGGTATATTTGTTGATTTCATTCATTATATTTTGATAAACAGAAATCTGTAATCAATAATCATATATCCAGTAGTCTAAAAATATTGGACACCACGGTTAAACATAATGCAAATACAATCGTTTCGAAAGTTTCGAATCTTTGAGAGATAGATGCAGATGCTTCATTACCAAATGAACGTTTAGAGGTGTGCATTTTTGCTTGAAGTTGTGTGAGGTGGCAAAAGTTGGCTGTCAGATATTAATTCTTTCTTTGTATTTAGTCCAGTGATTATTCCCATACGATAAATAATGGAACAATCAATGGCAGAACTTTTAATAATGGTTTACCCAAGAAAACTGTCTCAAGGATTAGCAATCTAGAAAAGGTATATACTTGCATTTTTCGGCTAGAACTATTATGTTCTCATGTTCCTAAAGATTTCTAATTTTGTTCTGTCCATCAGGTCGGGTTGGGTACCTGAGCTCTATTCCTACTTTAAACATGATCTACTCCAATATCATTTTTTTTTTACTTAGTCAAAGCTACTGGCTTTTTTTCTATTACTTAAAACAGACTACGCACATACGTTTGCAGCGTCATACTATCATCTTATTGATATCTTTATGTATTAATTACACGTGATCATAGATTTATAAACTCTATACTCCATCAATTTTGTAGCTTAGGTGTATAAATTACCCTCACTCGAGAACTTTTTGAATTGAGTAAATCATCTACTCTCATGGCTTATTACCACGTTGCGGCGATAGAGGATTGGACGTGCGATAAAATAATAAATTATTATCGTTCGAAAAATAGGGTAAAATGAAAAAAAAAATTGTTCAACGCTAAGCGCAAGCTGGACTGCTTGTCTACAGGTTCGACGCTTAGTGTAAGCTGAGACTGCTTGTCTGAAGGAATGAGCTCTTTAACAGTGATAAACTGCTTGTTCGACGCTTAGCGCAACTGGACTGATTGTAGCTGTTTATATTAATTTAAATTGTAAGTATTAATGTCTTGTCAAGTATAATGTTTCTTGCAAGTATTAATTTATATTACATTTTTCTAAGGATTGGACAAACTCAAGAGAAAATTCTGGAGATCAAAATGGTATATCTGTGAATATTGGACACCTACAGGTGGGTTTCTAAATCTGAGACTACTATATGTTAAATAATATTAAGCTTACATTTTATCAATTTAGGTGGAACAATTTGCAACCGGAAACTCTCAGGTCATTAAACAACCGCATAAAGCATTGTCGAGATGTGAACAATGGAATCGAAATTACGATGCCGTCAAAGAAAGTTTTTATGAGATTAAAGTTCTTCCTAAATTTGTTATATATATTGTGCGTTAGAAGTCGATTTGCGTCAACTGACAGTTGACATGCGTCAGATGACTAATGCTGGTCAAACTTTCTTAAGGCATTATAAGATCGGCCCAAAATAGGCCCATAATTTAGGCCAGTCGGCATCTGACGCAAATCGACATCTGACGCACAACATATATACAAAAATAAACTTTAGATTATAGAGCAAAACTAATATTGGAGGTGACTTCCCCTCCACTTTATAGTGGTAGGGATAAATCTTTTGAAGAATCAACCGATGGATTAACCGAAGCATCGCCAGTAATGTTTTTTTTTTCGTTTTATTTGTTGTTTTATGTGTATGAGTTCGTTTCTAATCTACATTGCTCTTTAAAGTCAAATGACCGCTATGAGGGATTGCACGTGAGGGCGACAATAATCCTTTTATAGCACAGGAGTAGGAGCAGGAGCAGAGGTTGATGACGAAGCAGGGAAACATTCAACGAAATATATGGTTAGATAATGTCTCTGAAAATGACGTAAGCATTGAGAAATATCGTTTTGTGGTGTTTTTATCCTGATATATTCTAATTTCGTCTTTTTTATATAGTGGATAACACGGGATGGACACAACATCTCTGTCGACTTTCGTAATTTTCAGTTAAAGTCAATTGAAAAATTAGAAGCCAATCCGACTTTATCATACGCGAAAGAAATTGATTTGGTATTGTAAATATTTCTCTTTGCAAAGTTATAGAATTTTGGATATAACATTTAATTTGTATATATTTGCAGATGTCTATCGTCAATTATGTATTGCAATGAACTTAAATCAGAATATGTTGAATGTTCCGAAAAGACATGGAATGAAGCTCGTCCAAGATCATTAATTCCGAAGGAGTTACCAACAGTTGCTGACTTAGTAATAATCGAATACAACAGAGTAAGTACAGTCCTTGATATTATTACAAACAATCAGAAAACACATTAATCTGTTTATTTGTGGTTTTTTTTTTAGCTTTTGAATGACAATACAAAGTGGCGTGGCAATTGGTCAAAAGGAAATACGTTATTATCAGTCGAAGACCAAGAAATATTTGATATAGGGATGTTAAGCGGTCTTAAAAATCCCAAGAAATTACAAAGAATTATATTTAAAAGTTTATTATAAAACTTGTCTATTATAACGTTTTAATGAGCTACTTAATGAAAATATATCATATAACCTCGTGGAATCCTAGAACTTAGGACCGGATCCCAAGGACCAGTCCTATACTTAGCGGTCCCATCAAAATTTGCCAATTTTGAATATCATTTTCTCTTTTTACAAATTAATTATAAAATTTTATGACATTTTTTTGAAGGGGTTACTTATTATAGATAGTGATTAGACTTCTCTAGAGTTAGTAATCTCTTAAATCATAAGGACCGGTTAAGGACCGCTTAACATCCCTAATTTGATAGTTTCGAGAAATTTGTAAGTTCTAAATTTAATAAAAACGTTTGTTAATGGTATTGTTAATACTCATTTTTTGTTACCTATTTGTCTTCGGTGAGTTATAATGAGAATAAAAATTTGGACGAAGATACGTTCTTCATCGATACTGTCATCAAATACTGGAAGAAATATTCAATATATATATAGCTTACATTTTCATTATTGAAATAAAGGGCTGATGGTGAATCCGAAAGTTCTAAAGAGAGACGTTTATTGGATGGTCATAACCATGGCAGAAAACCAGACTTCCGGATCCTCTCAAAGATTGATGACACTGAAAGAGAGTTCATATTCAGTGAGATAAAGCCACCGCATTGCCCTAATACTATAAATACGAGTATCATTAATTAGCAGAATTCATGAAAGGAACTTTAGATTTTATTATTAATATTCACGGCTACTGGAAACGTATGGTATATTAATTTGTGGTAAGTGTCTCTGTTATAACTTTGCTTATGTTTGATTGTCAAGCTAATAGATTTAAAACCAATAGGAAGCGAAATTAAAATTTTTAGTATCGATTTGCTATATACCATTGTAATCTATTATCGAAAGTATTGTTCCTGACGGAAAGTGCGAATTTTTTAAACATTATCACTGTAGTATCTACCCTATATTGGTAAAAACCTTACTTCATATTCAAACAAGTTGCTTCGCAGTTTAATC